TTCTGTTGTGGAGAAAAAGCTCATAATTTATTCATTAGGCATGTGGCTGATTTTGTTACACCCAAATTGATATTTATTCAAATGGTAGAGTTTATTACATTACATTACAAGAAAACAATGCAAAGTAGCATAATGCAAACAAGTAGCATGTTTTCACTGCACACCGAACATCACATATCACTGCCAGTTTGATAGTATTCACGCAATCTTCAAGTAAGCCAGCCTAATGTTAAGAAAAATCCTTTGCTTACTCATGGATCTGTTAATTCTATTGATAAGGTATCTAACGAGAATTTAATTCTTGATGTTTCCGAAATTAAGACTCCTCCCTGAGTCTTCCATTCAAAGTTATTTGAGGCAGGTTTGATGAATGTTTGTCATGATGATTGTACAAATTGTAATGTCAGTATCAAAGGATGTATGTTGGTTCAGGGTGATATTCAGAATTTGATCAACGATGGTTTTCTACAAGTGAGTAGCAAAGTGAAGAAGGATGAAGTTTCCGTGATTGAGCTCATCTTCAACTTACCAGAACCAGGTGATAAAGTTCCCATTTTTAATTTTCCAAAATCAAGCTCTGCAGTACCTATTTTCAGTGCACCAAAACCTGTGTTCAACATACCAGAATCTGTTGTTGCTTCTGCAGTTAATCCAACAAAGCCGGTGATCATTCAAAAGCCCAGTCCTTTTCATTTCAGAGACTCCAAAATTGTACCTTGGAAATACGATGTGACAATGATTTATAACGAATCTGGGAATGTTATTCCGATGGAAGAATTGAAGAGTGTTAGTGAAGATGTGAGCGGAGGGAGAGGGAGGCATGTTACTCGTCGTCGCCAGTTGATAACCATATTGCGGCGAGCTTCTAGTTTTCTGGTGAGTATCAAAGAAAGACGACGAAAACAGTGTGGATCGCGATAGAGGAATCGGTTTAGGGATAAGATTTGACTTGTTGATGTTTTCTTTCCTTTCCCCTTTCATATAAACACGGGTGGGCTTTACGCCCAATCCCTCTTTTTTTTAGATGGGCTCGACCCATACGTTTTAAAACACACACACACACACACATATATATATAGTTTTTTAGATTTAGTTAAGTTTCCCTCATCAAGACTAAAGTCTTTCAAAAGGATACATTTACATTAATAATGTTTCTAATCTCTTCTAAGATTGTAAAGGCACTATACATTCCAAAGGAAAATATCCTCTCTTATTGACTGCCATGTCAATTTCATGAAGATTCTAAGTTCCTTCTTGTAGAAGCAAGCTTCAAGGCCTTTATGTTTTGATGAGGACAACTAATATAAGCTTGGTACGCAAGATATTCTTCGCAAAAAGTAAGAGACGCGAGCAACCAAACAAAGATCAAGATAGTACCCTCGCGTATGACCCTATGGATCAAAGTTTCCTCTACAAGCTACAAGTGGTGATGATGATTCAAAGGAACGGTATAATATATTTTACTTAGAAATATTTATACAAGTGTTCTTAAAATCACTCTTCACTTCACAATTATCACTAACATTTTTAAAACTATTTTAAAATACTCATTCCTTTTAAAATTAATCAATTTCTGAAAAACCTTCAGTGTTAATCGATTAACACTTTGGTTAACCGATTAACACGCTTTAATTTTAAGTATTTGGTGTTTTTGCAATAGTGTTAGCCGATTAACCCACAGGGTTAACCGATTAACACATGAAAAATTTGAATATTTTGAATGTTGTGAAGGTGTTAATCGATTAACCTATTTGGTTAACCGATTAACACTGTAACAACAAGCAAAAATGGCAGTTGTTCATGGAAAATTGCATTGTTTAATATTTTCATTACTGGCTATTTTTGCTGCTTCAAAATCACACCTTTTTGGAAAGGTATTTGACTCATATAAATTGATCTTAATTTCAAAATTACAATTTACCTTCAAGAAACAAATTCAATCAAATTACTCATTTTCTTCAATCTTTGAATTTTCATTCTAACTGTTCAAAACCACACTTTGAAAGAAGCCATTAAATTAACTTTCACACTCTCACTGTTTCCTTTCACAAAGAACACTTGTATATTTATCGGAGTAACATTTGTTTCAAGAAGAAGATCAGTCTTGAAGATTGATAACAACTCTCCATCAAATATTTCTCAAGAACATTTTTTTTTTGTATTACCTTGTTGTCCAGGACTGTTGGAAACAAGTGAAGTGTCTTGAAGAGGATTGTTATTCATTCACTTTGATTACCTGTAGGTTTAGATAGTAAGCATCACCTTTGGAATCATTAGGCTTTGCAATTATTCTGAACTATAGTGAAATTCTCTTTCGTGTTGAAAGGGGAGTGGAGTACCTTCGGAGTATGAAGGGAACCACTATAAATTTCCTGTGTCTCTTTTCCTTTCCTGCCTTACTTTCAAGTCACTAACTAATAACCGGAAAAAGAACCAACGAATCATACAAGATTGCAAATAATTTTTAAGATCCTAATTCACCCCCCCTCTTAGGCGCAATTACTACTTACACTTTCTTTCATCCTAGCCTTAGGATCAGGAGTCGCCGCACCCCATGCAAATGTCCTGCCATAGACATTCTCTTTTAAACCCTTATACTAGCCTTAGGATCGGAGTCGTCGTGCTCCCTATAAGTTCTTGCCATGGACACTTATTCTTTTTCCTTCCCTTCATCCTAGCCTTAGGATCAGGAGTCGTTGTACTCCAGTAAGTTCCTGCCATGGGCACTTACGTATCCCTTCCTTTCAACTTAACTTAGACTTGAAGTTGCCACACTCCATGTAAGTGTCTCACTATGAACATTTATTCCCCCTTGGAACCTTGACCACAGTCAAGAGTTCCTCACCCTCATTGAGGGGAACTACGAATGCTCTGATTCCATTCCCGTTAGGATACGTAGGCACGAGATGCGATGTCTTGGCGATCATACTTAGGAATAACACCTTAGGTCTCTTCCCCTTTACCTTTTCACCCCTTAGCAGATAATAGATAACAAATAACACAAATAAAACAAGAAGTTCCTGTAGAATACTACATATGCTTAGGATGTTAACACCTTCCCTAGGTATAACCAACCGCTGAACCTTAGATCTTCTGCATTGTTTTTACAGTGCAATTAAGGTTTTTTCGTTCTTTACCCTTTTCTTTGGACAAATCAAAGCTCGGTGGTGAATTTCAAATATTTGTGATTCAAGTTAATTTGATAGCTTGATATCTGGTTCTCATTGCAACAAAGTGAATGCAGCAAGTAAGCTGAAGGGAAAAGGCAATGGGAAAAACCATGGAAAGGTAAAGGGAAAGGGAAAGGGAAAGGGAAAGGGAAAGGAAAGGAAAAGTTCATTGTTAGGGATGTAGGTGCTGATAATGATGGTGAGGTAAATCTAGACAATGAGGGGTTTAGCTAACATAGAGGAGTATGACAATGATAAAATGTATACTGAGTATGACAGTGGGAATGATGAGGTTGTAAAGGATGATTTTGTAACCTTTAAGCTTCCAAAAAGAATGGAAGACTACAAATGGGAACTTGGTACATTTTTTTTCTACAAAGGGGGTATTTCAAGAGGCAATAAGAACATATGTCATTCATTCAGGAAGGAACTTGAAATTTACAAAAAATGATAAGGCAAGAATGAGAGTTAAATGTAAGGCAGGTTGCCCATGGGAGGCTTACTGTACAAATATTAAAGGCCAAGAGACTTGGAAATTGAGGACAATTATGGACAAGCATACTTGTAGTAGGGATTATAAGATTAGGTTCCTCAATTCAAAATGGTTGGAAAAGAAGATTCAAACAAGTGTTGGAGAGAATTTAGCTTTAAAGTTGGCTGGTATTATGGAGAAGACATATGAAAAGTGGAATGTTGGGATTAACAAGACATTGACATATAAAGCCAAAACACTAGTTGTTGATATTGTGGATGGTTCTTTTAGAGAGCAGTATAGATGAATTCATGATTATGGCCATGAACTATTGAGGGAAAACCAAGGATCAACTGTGAAGACTACAAGTCAACCACCAGTTCAAGGGAAAAGCAGTGAAAACTCTATTCAATTGAATCTTCACTTTCAAAGAATGTATGTTTCTCTCAAAGCTTGCAAGGACAATTTTTTCAAATGCAAACCTATTATAGGATTAAATGGTTGTTTCTTAAATGGATACTATGAAGGGAAAATACTAGATGTTATTGGTAGGGACCCAATTGACCAAATGATTCCAATTTCATATGTTGTTGAGGGTGAAAATAAAGACTCATGGAGTTTGTTTCTAGAGTTATTGATACCTGATTTGGAAGGAGTCAGGTTGTGCAGAACATATACCTTCATTAGTGATCAACAAAAGTTTAGGTTTTAAACTCTCACCTTGAAATGTAGTTGTTAGCCAATTGTTTTATTTTCACCATCATTCTTACTTATTTATGGATGCAAGGTTTACTTCCAGCTCTTGATGAATTACTTGGTAATGTTGACCAGAGGTTCTGTGTCAGGTAATGTTTACTCTCACCTTGGTAATGTTTACTGCCAGCTTTTACATATTGAATATGACATACTTGGTTAAGTAACTTACATATTGAATATGACATACTTGGTAATGTTTACACTTACTTTATATTGCAAACATTTGTATAGTAACTTCAGGAAAAAGTTCCCTGGCCTGAAACTAAAGGAGTTGATGTGGAGGGCTGCATGTGCAAGTTATGTTAATGCTTGGGGAGAAAATAATGCTTGAAATCAAAGAAGTTAATGAAGAGGCCTTCAAACACCTCATCAAAATTCCACCAAGATTCTGGAGCAAATCAAGGTTCCAGCCAAGTTCAGGTTGTGACACTTTGGTTAACAATATGTCAAAGGCCTTCAATTTTGTATTTGTGGCTGCTAGATCCAAGCCCATTGTGAGAATGCTGGAAGAAATTAGAGTATACATAATACAGAGATGATAATCCAATAGGAAAAGTATCACCAAATACAATGACATCATACTACCTAACATCAAGAAGAGGATGGAAAGGGAGTCACAAAAAACCAATCATTGGATTGTGAGGTAACATTACTTTCAAATGGCTAACTATTTACATAGACTATCATTGTTAATGGCTACTTGTTTACAGGCGTGCATGTGAATATGACTATGAGGTGAAACATACTTCACTCAATGGAGAAAAATATATTGTCAACCTTTACAAGAAAGAATGCTTATGTAGACTATGGATGCTGACTGGACTTCCTTGTTGTCATGTAATGTCTTGCATGAAAGATCAACATTTGGAGATTGGTGACTTTGTACCTGACTGTTACCAGAAGGAACAATATGCTGCTTGCTATGAACATGTGATATATCCACTTAATGGGGAAGTCTTGTGGGCAAAGACTAGTGTTATTGATCTTCAACCACCACCAATAAAGAAGCAGCCTGAAAGGCCAAAGAAAAAAAGGAATATGGAAGCTGGAGAGATGGTGAGGAATGAGACACACATGAAGATGGAAAGACATGGTATAAAGTGTAGTCGTTGCCACAAGGATGGTCACAACAAGGCCACTTGTAAACAACCACAACCACAAGCTAGTTCAAGTCAGGTATAAGATGCAACAAGTCAGCACCATCACAAAGCTAATACAAGTCAATCACCGCCTGTTGCAACAAGTCAACCACCATCACAAGATGTTACAAGTCAACCACCATCACCTGTTTTTACAAGTCACCCGCCACCATAATTTGTTACAAGTCAGCCGCCACCACCTATTGTTACAAGTCAGCCACCACCCAAAACTAAGGAAAAACTTCATAAGGGCGGCAAACATGTTTCAAGTCAACCATGATCAATATTATTATATCTACTATGATTTTGTAATGCCAATTAATGGTCTGACTCTTTTGTTTTTGTTAATTCACTTTTTGGAATTAAACATGTTATGTAATGCCTTATAACGGCCTTTTGGTTTTGAACATGTTATGTAATTCCTTACAATGTCCTTTTGGTTTTTGAACCTGTTATGTATTGCCTTATAATGGCATTTTTTTATTGAACCTGTTGTGTATCAAATATTGAATTTGTTAATGAATGTTGGAATGGTTATTGAACCTGTTATGTATCAAACTTTGAAACATGTTTTAGAACCTGTTATGTATCAAACATGTTATTGAACCTGTTATGTATCAAACATTTTATTGAATCTGTTATGAAACAAACATGTTACTGTTTGTTTCCATAAATATTGGTCATTGAGCTGCATATTTTACAGGTTGGATATTAAGACATTATTCAATGAACTCGTTATGTATCAGACATGTTTGAACAAGTTATATTACAATTTGTTCCCACAAATATTGGTCATTGGACTGCATATTTTACAAGTTAGATATCGAGGCATTATTCAATAAAAATGTGAAAACAGAATACAAACATTATTCATTGAAACAACATAACAATACATTATTCATTAAACAAACTCATCAATTTGTTACAACAATACATTATTACAAACATAAGAACATAACTTAGAACTACCCTAAAACTAATTGAGATACATTGTTACAAACACAAAGTTCAACCCTAAACTTACAATCCCAACAACAATGGACATTTTGATTCACCTTCGAGTGTACCTAACTTCATTCTTCAATTTGTTAATTTTTTTTTGTCTTTCAAGCTTCAAATCCCTTTCAGCAACAACCTCATCACCCAACCACTTGAAGAAATTGCAACTTTTTTCAATGTGGTTTCTGTAATTTCTACAACCCTAGAGTTTTCTCCCTTTGTTGACACTGTTCACATTATTCATTGTTCTAAGAACACTTTCATCTTGGCAAAAGCACTCAATCCTCTTGTTTCTACGAATCAAAGATCCAGATGTTCCATAGTTATGGTTGTTTAAAGTTGAGGCATTGCTTGCACTCTTTGACATTGCTTGAACCATAATTCCAAATTGCAGAAGAAAATGAAAGATAATATAAGGAAATTGGGAGAAAGGAATTTAACCCTGAATTGAAGATGAAGATGGAATAGGTTGAAATATGGAACACAGGCGAAGAATGGTGGAAGAAGAATGAAGCAGCATGAGTGAAATATGAAACCCTATGTAAGACAACATATACATATGCTGATGTGGAATCCTAAATTGGCTTACTTAGCATACCACCTCACATAAACTAACATTTTTTTACACAAACTAACGAAAGAGACCAAAATGTTTAGCGGAATTTAAATTAAAGGATCATTACGTAACGTTTTTTAATTCAGAGATCAAAACAAAATTTCGCTCAAAATTAAGGGATCCAATGACTAATTATGACGTGAATTTATCATCCAAAAAAACTCATATCAGACAATAAAATATTAAACACATATCAGACAATAAAATATTAAAAATACAAAATCATAAAAAAGTAGAATTTAAAAGGTGGAGATTCTACGGTAAAATCCTACTGCTCAAATCAATCGTTATTTAAATAATTTATATTCTTATTTAAATTTGATTTAAAATCAATTAATTCGATTAATTATTAATATAATTTTAACTAAATTCATATTCTATTATTATTAAAAAGTTAAAAAAAAATAAAATTATTATTTTTTAGAAAAAGATTTTTTTTAAATAAAAAATATCTTTTCAAAAATTAAAAAAAACAATTTTTTTTATTTTTTAAATTAAAAAAATGTTTTTAAATAATAAATTCTTAGAAAATAAATTTAACATAAAATTAAACCTAAACTAATTATAGTTAATTATAAATATAATCCATTAAAATTATAATTAACGTGATATAAAAATTAACGGTCCACAAGCATCTCATCCTATCAACCTAATGAACCACCATCTAAACATCTCATCCTAATGAACCACCACCTAATAGGTGATTCACCTTAGACTCAACCTTGTAAAAAAACACTTTTAAAGAACGAAAAAATTATAAAATAGTAATATAAATAATTTTAAGCCATACAAGATATTTTCACATATGTACTAATACTAAAACTAATTATCACTGCTAATCCTTAACTCTTAAGTGACAAAATCCATTGCGATCAATAACCAAAATTTTTTCGCTACTAATCTTTGCTGTGAGCTTGATCATCATGTTCACATTTCTAAGAGCATTTTTAGTGGGAGTAAACTAAATGGGTAAACTAAAATATTTTTTGTGGGCCCAAAATAATTTGTAGGATTTAAAAAAATTATAGTTGATTTCAGTAGTTTTTACTTTAATGGTGGTTGTCTATAGGAAACTAAAACTTGACTCCACATTTTATATTTTTTATTCCAATTACCATTAATTTAATTATTTTAATTAAAATACATATAATTTTTTAAATAAAAATTATCTTTAAAACTTAAAAATAATATTAAATATATTTTATTATAAAATTAAAATTGATACAAAATTCACAACAATAATACATAAAAAAAAATTACATTTTTACAGGAATATAATTATAATAAGGATTCGATTGGTTGAGATTCATTTGATAAATAAATAAAATTGAAAATTGAAAAAAAAATTTAGAAGTAAAATTGTGTATAAAAAAAATTAAAATTTCTATAGAATTTATAAAAGGTAAAAAATATAATACGACCGTTATTATTTTCAAATATCATAGAATATTTGAAATATTTTATTAATATTAAATAATATTATAATAGATTTCACATAGTTAACAGTTAACGTTAACTATATGAATAATAGAAATTAAATTTTAGTTCATTTATATGTCATGTCAGCTCTTTTATAATGCAAATTCCTGATTAATAAGATAAGCTATAAAGAATTTTAGTTTAACAACCCTGCGTTAAAGATGCTCTAATTGCATATCCATTAATCTCAAATAAAATTTAAAAAGAGTTATTAAAGATAACTAATGCATATAAAAAAAGAAGAAAAGAAATGTACATAAAATAAAATAAAATGAAATCTAAACAATTTAAATATTCATCCAACCAATACATAAATGGCATATATAATCCCTGGAATGTATCCCAAGAATGTAAGCACCAGATCTATCCAGAACTCCACCTGGATTTCAATTTACAAACCACCAAAAACTAATTCAATCAAATAAATCACAAAATCAACCATCAATAATCTTTCACCAATAAGATCAACACTTTAGATTAAAGACGACACTTATATATATATATATATATATATATATATATATATATATATATATATATATATATATATATATATATATATATATATATATATATATATATATATATATATATATATATATATATATATATATGTTAGTGTTTCATTTTAAGAAGGAATTGAGAAGAAGAAGAAATAGAAAGAGAGATACTCACTCCACAGCCATAACGAAGGAAAACACCAACAGGAGGCAAGAGTATTGCTAGTATAACTTCAACAAATGTTTCAGAACCCATTTTTTTCTTTTTCTTACTCTCTTGTTCTCAAAATTGAAATGATAGTGTTGTTGTTGTGGTTTTTTTTAGAGCCAAATGAAAACGGTTACAGTGGAGATCTGATTCACTATGGCAGGCACATTTAAAGACGCGTGTGTTAAACAGATCACACGTGTCACTTAAATCTGAATTAAGTGATTTACTTTGTCTTAAAATAGAAGGTAGAGATAGACATGAGTGAGTGACCATAGGGAGTGTGCATTTGTCCAGTAGTCTTGTTTCACAAAACTTGAAATTCTATTTTTAATAAATTCATGAGTTTAAGAGAATACATATAATATTCTTATATTCTTAATTAGCTTATTGAATATGTAAATTTATTTAATACGATAATTATAAAATAAATAATATATAAACTCAGATATATTAAAATAAAATAAAAAAAAGATACGTGAGATAAATAAAATAGAAATTATTTAATATTTAAAATTAAAGATTTTATTTTTTAAATTAAAATAATTGTTAATTAAAATAAAAATATGTATTGTGTTAATAATAACTGAAATAAAAATTTATTTGATACAATATAAAATGTATAAAATGTATTAATTTACTAATGTAAATTTAAATTTAGTTATTTAATTGTAAAATAAAAAATTATTATATAAATTCAATTATATTAAATCAACATTATGATAATAATAACCCGTGAGATAAAAAAATCATCTATAGTATAAGAAATTTCATTGTTCTGGAATTCACCATTTTGACCCTCTTCTTAATTGAAACACATCACTATCACTATTTGAGTGGTAATTTGTGTCTAAAAGCAACTAATTCCAACCGGATTTGCTTCTAATTGCAACACAACTACACATTTAGTACTCACTGTGGTGCCTTAAAGTTGATGAACAGTTGCTAAATGAACAAGAATTCTGCTTTTGGTTTAACAAATATTGGTGTGGGTAATTGGACTATCACCCAAGGTTGTTTTTGCACAGACGTCACATGGGTAAATATTGTCATTTCCAATGTAAAAATTTTTTTTGGTAGCAGCGCTGCATATCTGAACTCTTACCTTCACATAACCTTCATTTCTTCCTGAAACACTAAAAGAGTCGTTTGTTTTTCAAAATTCATTTGTTCTTCAGAAACGTTGTTGACTTTTCGACTGCAGATGGTGACACCCTTTAAGATGGTGAAATTTATCAATG